TGTGTAAGTAGCTCATAATCCCATTAATCCTTGACTATATCATTTCTATTAATTTTCATTAGCTATGATGAAGCTTCCACACATTACTGAATGTATGGTTTAAGGTTGGTATAGCTCTTTCAGTTCATAACATGTAAGTTGTAATTGAAATTGTAACAGTTGCTCCTATATTCCTGGTGAAGGATAACAAGCATTCTGAGTCAGTGATTTTTTTGATTTGTTTCATTAACTTATCCAAGTTACTCTGACTTATTATACATGTCTATTGCTTTACATTTGCAACTTTGCATACTTGTATGCAAGTGGAAACTTGAAGCTGTGGAAAATAATTGTGGTCTTGTGGAACACTTGAACTTCAAGTCTTGGATAGTTGGATGTATTAATTTTGCGTACTTGGAACTTTGGAATGTTGGATGTTAATGAATTATGTAGCATTTTGTAATTTGTAAACTGGAAGCCTGTAATATGTGTTAATGTGCTTATCACTTTAGTCTTAAGTTACTTTACTTTGTATGAGAACTCAATTTATGTTTCGTATGGCATCAAACTATCAATGTGCTTATTTCAATTTTCAATTTCAATTGTGTGAGTTACTTGAACCCGAGATAACCCGATACCCGAACCAAACCCGCCCTACCCGAAATTCAATAAAACCCGAAAAATTCAGAGTAAAAAAACATATGGTAGGATATGCTTATTACACATCCGAAACCCGAAAGGGTCGTGGGTTCACCCACCTGCCCGACCCCAACCCGCCCGATGCTCAGCCCTAATGATGGTGGAGGCGAACGAAATTTCTCGTCAGGGGAACGCGATAGCAGGATTGGGAACAAGGTTTGGAAAGGCGCAGGGGACGGTGGCAGGAGCGGGGCAGGGGTTGGGGTGAGGCGCAGGGCTGAGAGGTTGAGGAGGGGGAGGTGGCTGGATTTGGGCTGGGTCTACGTTTGGGAAGGGGACTGGGTTTGGAATTGGGTCTGGGTCTAGGAAGGGGCCGGGGCTAGGTATGAGCAGGGGGTTGGGCAGGGTTGGTGGGGGTGCTAAGATGGCGACTGGTGCTAAGGAGAGGTAGGTGCAAGCGGCGGTGGTGGTCACCGAACGACAGGGTCAACGGACGGGCGGTAGTAACTAGAACGGGTGGGGTGACGGTTAATGGATGGGTGGTGGTAACTGGAACGGGTGGGGCAGCGATTAATGAATAGGCGGTGGTATGTGGAATTGTGGGGTAATGGTCACCGGAAGGGGATGTTGGTGATTGAACAGGCGGACATTAGTCCTTAGGTTATTGGTTGGGCGTATGGTAGTTACTGGACAGGCGAACATTGGTCACTAGGTCAGTTGACGTTGGTCACTGGATGAGTGAATGTTGATAACTGGATGGGCAAACATTGATTACTGGTCGAGCGGGCATTGGTCACTGAACAGGCGGACGTTGATCATTGGATGGAAGTCAATGTCTCACTGGGCAGAATTTTTTTATCACTAATGATTTTGGTCACTGATGGATTTTGAAATTTTGGTCACTAATGATTTTTTGTCACTGATGAATTTTGATCACTATAGTGTTGTTGATCACCGTGACGTTATTGTAACACCAATGAGTGAGATTATATTAGTATAAGGATATTATAATCTCCTAACCTCTTTTAAGCCTCATTTTTGGAAACTGAGAAATATGTCACTTTTTTGTTCATAACTACTTTTCAGTATATTTTAGACATAACCCCATCAAAATTTGAGAGAGAAATCTGAATTATTTATAAAAATAAAACCGCACTTTCAGATTCACAAAAGTGCGCACATTTGTAAATCTAACAGAGAAGATACGTCTCATTTCTCTACTTAGATCATGCTCTCATTTGATTAAGGAGAAACATAAGAATAAATAAGAATGAATCTGGTGTTTTACCCCTATGAAAAACATATCATTAATTATTACATCTCTCTATCATGCTTTCAGCAAGGACTAAGGAAGGGCATACTTGCAAAGTCAATTTAGAAAATTATTTCAAAAAACAATTACTAATTAAACAATCACGAATTAAAACTAAACTTATTTATGCGTCATGCATGTATGCATCGATGTGTTGTCATTAAATTCCTCTATACGTGCACCCCATTACATCTAATCAGTATTTGCAAGTAGGGGTGGACTCGGGCCGGGCCAACCGGCCCGGAACCGGACCGGCCCGCCACTGTGCGGGCCCGGACCGGCCTGGTGAACCGGTTGGTTGGCCGGTTCGGGCCACCCGGCCCGGTGGATTCTTGGTTCGGGCTCGGGCCCTTCAAAAGGTGAACCGGCCCGGCCGGTTCGGGTCTGAGCCGGGCCAATTTTAATTTTTTTTTGATTTTTTTTTGAGTTTTTGGGTTGGGCGGGGTATTTTGGGCCATTTGAGGTGGTTAGGGTTGGTTTGGGGGTGAGGGGTGGGGGTTAACTAGGAAAAGCCCAAAAAAAAAATATACCCGAGGCCCGGCCCGGACCCGGGGGTTACCCGGGCCGGTTCCGGGCCTCCCATACCTTGAACCGAGGCCCGGCCGGTTCAAGGCCCGAACCGAGTCCATCCTTGTTTGCAAGAAGTTTTGCTTTTCAATAATTGCTTTCTCTCTAACTTTTTTGCATGTTATTTATTTTTTGTTTACGGTTAATTATCTGTTAGCCTGATATTATCTTTTTATGTGTTACATTTTAACCGATAACGTAAATAATTAAACCGGTCTCACCCAGAGTGATGCTTTAGTAGAGACACTTTTAGTCATCGAATTTCAAGTTTCCCACTTTAATTCCCCGAGTATTATCATTGTTAGTCATTTCACTATGATTATGACACAATAAGCGAAAGACTAAAAATGTCGCTATTATAATAGTTGAAGGACCAAAAATGTCATTTTTATGGAAGTCGAAGGATAAATATGAACATTTTCGAAGACGGGTATAAAAAATGTCTTTCGCACAATAGTTGAAGGATTAAAAGTTAAAAAAAAACTCAAAGTCGAGTATCAGAAGTGTCAATGACATAATAATCGAAGTACCAAAAGTGGCAATAACTCTGCTTTAGTACTTCTAGTTAAAATCATTGCATTTTCAATGAGCAAGTATGTTTAGGCAGGTACATTTTTACTTGGTGTTACTTTATTGTGTAGGTCGATTTTCGAAAGAAGTGAAACAACGGAACAACCCCCCTCCCCCTCCCCCCCCCCCCCCCCCCCCCCCCTAAAAAAGGGCTCCAAAGACATTGTCACCGGTGTCTTCGTGGATGAAAAGAAGAGACCACTTGTCACTATCATTGATCTTGATGAGCTCTCGGATGGAGACACTCTAATTAAAGTTGGGCCTGATCTCAAACCGGTTACGAGTGAGGATGCTCCGGGAATCTACTTCACGCATCGTGATTTCATTAAGCTTCCGGGGGTGAAACGCTCCTCCACATGGTATGACTTCGACCCTAATACTTTTATTGCTAACGTTTTTTCCTTTTTTGATCCTTGTAGCAAGAACAACGTCAACTACTATAAGGAGCTAATGAGGAGGGAGCGTAGGCGGGCACGGAAAAAAGCTTCTGAGGGTGGAGGACCCACCTTGGACCTCTATCTCTCCTGATGCTGCGGCTCATGATGTGGAATGTTAGGGGCTTGAATAAGTCCTCTAAACATAATCTAATTGCTTCTTATATTAAACTAAATAATATTTGCTTAGTTGGATTTTTTGAAACTAAAATGACCTTGGGCACATTTAATAACTATGTTTCAAATAAGTGGTCGGGTTGGATTTTTGAAAACAACTTTGACTTAATTGGTGGGGGACGCATGGCTATCATGTGGAACCCCAGCCTAATTAATTGCACATTTTTGGAAAATGATAGACAATTTCTGCATGCTAGGTGTGTTTGCCGTATTACGCAAACCCCTTTTTTGTTACATTTGTCTATCCTCTATATACGGTGCTTGAGAGGAAGGCATTATGGGACCATTTGACCTTGATTGGTGACCAATTGGCCGAACCTTGGATGGTTTGTGGTGACTTTAATTGCATTGATGCGCCTAATGAAAGGGTGGGTCCCACCCCCCCGACGGCGTATGTAATGCAACATTTGTTTGACTTTAAAATTGTGAATAGCCTTGAGGATGCACCCTCCACCGGAGAATTCTTTACATGGAATAAGGGTGCACTATGGGCTAAACTCGACAGAGTTTTAATTAATGATGGATGGGGACTTGATGATATCAGGTGTAGGGTCCATTTCCACGAAATGGAGGTAGAGTTTGACCATACGACCTCCGTTGTGTCAATACTCCTAAACTCCTCTTCTAGACCCAAGCCGTTCAAATTTTTTAATATGTGGTTAAAACATCCGGATTTTGCTAATATTTTAGCCACACATTGGAACCAGAATTATGTTGGGACGGCCCAATTCACATTGGTAAAAAGACTAAAGGGACTTAAAAGACCTCTAAAGTCTTTGAATGCCATGGAATTTGGCCACATATCTAATAGAGCAAAGATGGCAAAAGATGAATTTAAGCGTTTGCACAAGTTGGCACTTCTAGATCCCGGGGACCTAGAACTTAAGACCCAATTGTCCGAAGCTTCAAAGAAGGCTGTTTTTCTTGGAGAAGCCGAAGCTACTTTTTTTCAACAAAGGGCTAAGGCAACACATATACTTGAAGCGGACAAGTGCACGAAGTATTTCCATTCGATTGTTAAAAGGAATTTAGCAAGAAACACAATATCCTCACTTACTGGGAGTAACGTGGATGCAACTTGCATCACGCATTCTATTTTGATTTTTGGGTTAAGGGAGTGTATGTTATAACCTCCTTTAACTTAGCCTGAGTTTTGGAAGTTCTTTGAGCTATGTGCGTGCATGCTTGCAGCACTGATTTATTTTTGTAAGGCTTGGGGCATTGGGTATTGTATACTTAGGCAGTTAGGCCCCCGTTTTGATTTATTTTCTGAATTAGATCGAATAAAAACCTCTCCTAACCCCTACACTAGGTAAGGGTGGGGGGTTAGGAGATCTAAAACCCATGATGTATAGTTTTCTTTTGGGTGTTAATACAAATTTACATTTCATCCAAAAAAAACAGGAAAGCAAGTTACAATAGATGAAGCATTAAATGACGGGTTAAGTAAGGGTGGGTTCATGAAACCGAAAACCAAATTAAAAAATGAACCACTATCAAAACAGACTGAACTGTAGTTGGTCGGACCAGCTTTGGCAAACAAGATACAACAAACTCTCATGATAGATTTTAAAAAGAAAACAAGCGCCATCTTTGAAGACACCCTCTGTGCAGGTCAAGGGTGAACTCGAGGGAGACATCATCGGACCACTTCATCACGTAACGGCACCAGCAGGAAGGAATGGGACGGAATACACAATAACTATGAGTCTATGACGATAGCATTAAATTGTTTGGTCCTAAGTCACAATGCAAAGATGACACATGAGAACTTAATGATGGTTTTAGATGCCAAAAATATGTTACAAGGCCTCGGTCCTTACCCTCATCGTCTAAATCTAATACATCTGACCAATTATCATGAATAGGAAGGGTTACTTACCAACATGCCACAACAAAAGTGCAAACAGCAAGTGCAAATGGTAAAACCCCGAGATGGCAGAATGTTAAGCCTCCTCGTAGTCTCCGCATTTCCGCAAAGCGGCTCTTATCTCGTTCAACATCTCCTTCACTCTGATCCCTTTCCTGCATATGATCTGTGTCTCATTAAAGGGAAGACTAATTTGAGATGCATGCTAACATGATCAATGCTTGTCAAACAGGAGACGTTACAGTAAAGACTTACAGAACACTGGTCCCCACAACTGCAAGAGGGCGTGGATATTCTTCAATTGTTTTAACCAACTGTTCCTTATACGAGATTTCGGAAGATTGATCGTCATTATCTTGACCCATTTTAGTAGAGAGCTTTTGACGAGCCACTCTAATATCACACCCAATCTGGTTAATCTCTTCGGTTACATGTTTAAGCCTATGCATTGCCTGTAGTGCGACCCATGTATACTTATACATGTGTACATTAAGTTCAAAAACAACTCTTACAGTTCCCAAATAACTACTGTTTTGAAAAGAAAATAGGAGTTTTGACTTTTGACATAAGACTAAAGGAAAATTAAGGACAAAAATAAGGCTACTTTTAAATTTTTTAGAAAAGTGACTAATTATGACATGTATAACCTTTAAGCTTGTACCCTTTAAGTTAATATTATATGCAGTACTTTTTATCATTATAACCATAACCCAGCACAGTGAGAGTAACACTGCGCCCCTCCACAGTGACACCACTGCTAGTGACAGTGGTACCAATGCTGCCGGCTCATGACACCACGTCTAGTGGCACCATGGCCCTCGGTGTTACAGCCAACTGCTCTGCCTCCGGCAAAAGTTTTAGTGACTGCAAATATAATATTCATAGTGGGTTCATGCATGCTTATTAAGAAAAGTATGTAAAATAGATGGAGAAAATGTAAAATATACCATGTAATATTTATTAATGGAAAAATAACTTTAAAAAATACACACTATCTTCCATGAACCAAGAATAATACGTGCTTTAGATATAACTTTTAATAATACAACCTATTTGAATATATATTGAAAGTGATATAAAGCAAATTTTCACTAAGAATTCAGTCATTTAACTCACCAAAAACTAATATCTAAACATCAAACAAGTGATTCTACATCCAAATATCATTTATTTATGGTTTGATATTAGTTTTTGATGCATTAAATGATTGGATTTCTTGTAGAAAAGTATGTACTACGTATTATTATTGGTTTATAGATGATAGTTGGTACGGAGTATTATTTAAAGTTATTTTCCCTTTATCAATTGGTAAGCGCCGAGACAAGAGAAAAAAGTGCAGAGGAAGTGCAAAAATGAAAAGGGTGCTAATATTAATAATGATTCTTTTAAGTATTATGGGGCAACTAAAAGAAAGAACGTTGTAAACTTGTGAATAATACTTAGATGGAAGAGTTAACCAAAAAGGGAAAAAGTAAGCGTGAAATTTATTCTGAAACTCATGAAAGGAATAAGAGAAAGTAGTATTTTATCTTGACTGTAGGAAAAAATAACATTGCATCTTAATTATGTTTGCTAAAACTATAAACGATAGTTAATTGAGAAGAAAAAGGGTAATATAATCGGCGGATTAACAATTTCAAGTTTCCAACAATTTTGCAACATGATACCTTCAACCACTCACCTCAGGAATATCAATCTTATTCAAAACAACAACGTATGGTCGTTCAAGATAATCAGGATTATACATCCGCAACTCCTGCAGTTTTTATATTGTAAACAAGATTACATTTATACCACCAAAAATTAATCAGTAGCAAAAAGGAACAAGTTCCATATTTAGTGATTATTATTTACCATACCTCTTTTACAGTTCTATAATCATTTACAGGGTCCTCAGCGGCTGCATCAACAACATGGACTAACAACCGTGTCCTCCTTAAGTGTCTCAAAAAATTGCGTCCCAGTCCCTAAGCAAAATAACCATATCACACAAGTGTGAAAAGACTTTTGCAAAGAAAAAAATCTAAAATTTTACCTTTCCCAAATGAGCTCCTTCAATGAGACCAGGTAAATCTGCTAGGGTTGCTCCAGAGGTAAACTCTGCTGACCCTAGAGTAGGGTCACCATTAAGGCGGCCAAGGTTTGGCATCAAAGTTGTGAATGGATAATTAGCTATGTCTGGTTTTGCAAGTGTAATGGCTGCCAATAGAGTTGATTTCCCAGCATTTGGAAGACCCTGAATGATAATGATTACTATTATTATTATTATTATTATTATTGTGTTGCTGTTATAATGAAAAATGACATGACAAAAATAAAAATAATGGACACAAATATGACACTTAGTACAGAATGAGCATAGTGGTATTTCGAATAAATACAGTGACAATGTAGTCATATTTTGTCGATGAGTTCTATATTAACAATATTAGATAAATAATTAAATAGTAGGAAAAACCCCTATTGTCTTTATTAATTATTAATTAATATTTTTAACATTATGATACCTACAATAAGACCAACATCAGCAACAACTCGTAGTATTAACTGCAAGCTCACTTCCTCCCCCGGCTGACCATGAACTAAAACCTACACGATAGCAAGGATAGATATCACACATATAACCAAAGGGTGAAAATAACTACTTTGGTTTCATCCTTACCTTATCATTTTCATCTCTCATCACATTTGTGGTTAAAACTGTCATTTTTTTTCTTTTGTGCTCTGGAATTTCTAACAAGCTAATCTGCCACAAAGAAAGCAGTTAAGTCAAGCAAAAACTATAATTGGAAATCCTAGAGTATGCTTGAAAGATAATAGTAAAAGTACAATTTATATATTAAATGTGTTGGAAGAATTTGGTTACCCCTCCGTGACCACCCCTTGCAACGATAACTTCACTGCCTGGAAGGGCTAAATCAGCCAGCAGCTTTCCTCTTTTATGCTTAACAACTGTGCCTGTAAATCATTACATAAAGAACAGTAGCCTTAAAAAAATATCAACTCTTATGTACATATATGTCACATAAGGTTCAAAAAACACCTTAGATGCATAAACCAACCACAAAGGTAACTCAAATTTCTTAGGCTATAATTGCGAGTTGGGTTTCATGGTAAGAAGAATGATATATCATTTGGTAATAAATAAATGGACCTTTACTATTTTTTACTAAAATAGAACTCATGGACAAAGATATGATTACATGCCCACTACAATCACTCGAAAATACCACCATATTTTTTACTCCAGTGTAAAATTAAACATCACTGTACACACTCCAATATAAAATTAAACCTCACCATTGTTACTATACCCACTGCGAGATTACAACTGTGGTCACTTCGTATTACAAGGTAAATTTTGTCCATGATTTTTTAAGTCATTTTTCATTTATTTGTCATTATTTCAAAAATAAATGTCTATGATGTTGAATTTATACTGACTTATCATTTTTCAAAGTCATATTTTAAAACACAAAAAACTGAAAAAGTATCTATCTCCCCTTCTCCTCCTAAACACCCAAACATAGCTTTAGTGATACCTAGGACGGAGGTTTTTTTAGGGGATGATTTGGAAAGCTAAGCCTATGTCTTGATGTGTGTATGAGAGAGATTTATTAAAAACTGAAGATATAACATAATTGATGATCATATGACATTTCAATAACCCCATTATTCATCTTCAGAAACATTTTGTATGTCAAGGTATGGACTAAGCCCTCCAAATCCTTCCCTAGTTCCCTTCTAATGCCCTCAAACGGTCCATCCAAACACACTGTTAAGTGTGTTGAGGCAAGAGAGAAAAGGGAGACAAACCTACAGGGACGGGGATACGCAGTGTGGGGGCAGCTAGTCCGTCATGCAATTGAGAAGTCAGCATTCCCATGGCAGCAACATTTCCCCCACGCTTGGCATTATGCCTACGCTTCTTGTGATACTCCAATAGTGTATCTGTGCTCTCATCTGCATAAATCACCACATCACCGCCATGACCTCCCATAGGAAGGATAACTGAGCCGTCAAAATCCCTTTTATATGAACTTTTCTTCATCACCTTCTCCTTGTTGAATTTTCCACTTGACTTGGAGGGAGAAGTCTGGTTTGGCATGCTAAGAATTGCACCATGACCACCATCTCCAGAGCGTACTGTGATGATGACTTCATCAAAGTATTTATGGGGTTCTCGTGTGATTAAGGAATCAGACATGGAGGGAGGAGGGTTTTTAACTCTACCAAGTGTGCACCTCAAAATATAGAATCTGCGGGGCTGACATTGTATTCTTTTCTGGAAAACGCTGTCATAAAAAGAGAGTAAAGTATAATTGCAGGTAGAGAATTTCATAACCAAATGAATGAATATCTTAATAACTGTTCTAACGATTAATTAAACATAGTAATAACACGAACTAGAGAACTGAAATCAATGACCACTCTTAACGCTCACCAGAATGGCCAATATCACTCTCAAATTTACTACCATAACACTAACAGTCCCTTTGGATAGAGTGAACACAAATAAACCTCGTGAACTTAAGTAAGCTCATGTTCATTAAAATTAGCCGACCCTAAGTAACCTCTTGAATACAAAAATGTTGTTCGGATAATATTAGGTTAACCAACGTTAATCCAGTCAAAGTTTAGATAGGGTTAACCTAGGTTAAGACATTAAAGTTATTTATAAAGAGAACTTAAATTCGTGATTCAAAGCTTCTCCAAAACTGAGTTACTTGGCATTTTTTCCTTTACGGAGGTTCTCTTAAGTAAATCTAATTTCTCTTAACATTGAGATTCTTATCATAAATGAGTAAAAATATTCAATCCAAAACTAACCATGGAAGAACCTAGGTTCACCTCAAAACAGACTGGCCATATTTGCACCCACTCAAATCCTAAAATTCAAGCAATTCAAGAAAAGAACAAACCTTCATATGCGGGAGTGTAATTTTATCCCCAAAATATGGTTTACATCTCACTTCTCAACTCAACATCCAAACCGTCCCAACATTTATTCACTAGACACAGAAATTTACAGTACAAGCTAAGCGTTTCTGATGTGACTAGTCGCATTTCTCATCTAACATCCAGTCCGCAAAAAAAGATCAATAGAGAAGAAATCAACCAAACACAAAGACAGAATAGAACAGAGGCGATCTTCCGACTGATACTTTAAATTGATGAAAAGTCATAAATTAAAATTGGGAAGCTCCTTTGTTTCGGAGCGAGCAAGAAATGAATAACTTTTTCAAGCGGACCTGTTTGGAAAATGGAGCAATTGCTGGGAAGAAGGAAAGATGGGTTCTTTAGCAATAGAAGCAGGCAGATTAAGAAGGGAAGAGTTTAGACACAGCATCCTTCACACTTCAATGGGTTAGAGGCCGCTCTTCACTATTCACTTCTTCGCTTCAAGATTTTCCCATGACGACTGACGACAACGGATAAATTTATCAGTCTTTCTGCCTAATTTTGAGCGGGTATACTGGTATTCCACTATTCTGCATTTGGTTTTGGGTTAATAGGTCCGGTTTTGAGAAAGGAAATAATTAACATAATCCAACATTTTTAGTTGGCTTTCTTTGTGTTATTTTTTGTCAAGACTTCGGTCAGTTTTTTATTTTTATTTGGATTTATTTCAGTCCCAGATCAGAATAGACAAGACCGGACTTAAATATACCGGATCAACCAGACTCAAACATACAAGGCCAAATTAGAGTTCGACATTTATAAAATATACAAAGACAAAACATTTACCAGATTAGACCACACATAAACAGATCAGATGACCATTCTTTTCCAGCCCTTTGAACTCTTTTTGCCCTTTTATTTTATTTTTTTCTGCCACGAGTTTGTGGATATTTTAGTTTTTGCCCTATTTCCCTATTATTGAATTGTAAGATCATTAGCACCTTTCATCTCTTCTATTCTAATCCACTTTTCTTTTCTTTTTTTCATTTCAATCGGAAAATTAATGTTTTTAAACCGACCAAACCAGATCGGACCAGACTTCGACAATTGTGAAATACATAAAAAGAGACATCTACCAGACTAAACCAGTTCAGACCAGACGGGACTTAAACCAACCAGACCAGAAAAATCTCAATCTAATTAAAAACATCCTCATTTTGCTTTATCAGTTTTCCCTTTTCCATTTTCTCAAATTCCATTTGCAAACTAGAAAAGTTGCCCCTTTTCGATTGTTGTTTACAGCAGATATACCCTGATAAACAGAAGGAAACGATGATTGTAATAGAATGAAACATATTGTTTGTTATAACACATAAATACATATATTGTTTGATAAGAAAAAACAAAACTATATTAAGAAAAAACAAGAGAGGTGAGTGATATTAAATGAATATTATCAGCAGAACTGATATGACTATGGCAAATATGGTTCCAAGTATTCAATACACGATAGAGTAACATGATTTGTATATAAATACATAATAATTACATGTATAGTGTGTATTATGTCAATGTGTGATGATGCCGAGAATGTGCAGTTCTTCTTCTCCCCTAACCACTCCTGCAAAACCGATAATGTGTTGGATATAGGCACCTCATTTGGATGGATTTAATAACCGGGCTCAGATGGCAGATCGTTTCACTAATGAAATTTTTGATACATCTTGTCTTCCTCCTACTTCTTCAAATAGTACCAATAAGTTTCCTGTTGGTTTCAACCATGACCTTGGAACATGATACCTGGTACATTAGTATGATAGATATATAAGTTCAGTGTCAGATTAAATGTTAATTAGTAGTGTTTCCTAAGGAAGCTCCATTTGGTATAACTCTGTTCAGTTTAGTAGCCTTGATAAGCTCAACCATATCTAATAAACTTCTTGCAGTAGCTTTTTAAATAAGTTGAACTTTTTATTCATAATTCCAGTTTAAAGTTTTAACCTCATTTGAATTAAAATCCTTTCAAGTGTAGAAGTAATAAGTTACTAATTCATTTATTAGCTATCAGCAGAAGTTTGTTTTGCCAAACATAGCCTAAGAGATCATTCATGTAGCAATGATATATGTAAACAGATTAAATGTCCAGCCCAGGTGGTCGCCGACTCACTCTCCCTTACGGGAGGTTTCAGGTTCGAAACTCAATGGAGTGAGTTTCAGCCCTGATTACTCCAACCCCCAGCCCCCCTCCCCCAGACGACACCTGGAGTAAAAAAAAAATAAGTATGGAAATTACCATCTTTGAGTTAGCTTGCCACAGCCATGCTGGCATTTTTGGGCACGGTATGTTCCATTATAGAAACAATGATCATCACATTCACCTTTTGCATGACATAACCAATATCTACCTATACTTTGGCCATTTATCCATATTTGTCCCTTTCCCATGCCTTTCATGTCAAGAGCCAAGGGCTCAACTCCGTTTGGTGCATCAAAATTTGCCTGCAATGTCACAAAATATATGTAAGTAAGCGGAAATTGTGAGAATTCATGGTCGGGCAATAAACATTTGGGTCGAAGTTAGTTCAGGAGTTCAACTTGTAGTCTTATAAAAACTCAGGTCAGTCTCTTAATGTTTCAACATGAGATTCTAACAAATGAGACTAGTTTTATAATGACACAAATTCTGATATAAGACTTTGGATTAATCTCCTATGATATTGACCGTAGAATGAAATCTCAAGTCTTACTCAGACAAGCCACCATTTTGCGAAACATATTATAAAAATACAATTTTACACCAAGTCCTTATTTAGTTCATAGCGTCCAAGCTCTTTCTGTTTTCCTACCTTGAACCAACTCAGATGTTGATGGCCTTGAGTGACTGATGGTCCTTCAATCCAGTGAACAGATGAGACTCCTTTTGGAGAGAACAAGTACATTGATTCTCCTTTTAGCCCAACCTGTTTAAAGAGTTGTAATGAATAAATAAACAAAAGGAAAACTGTTTAAAGATTAATTAACCAAGAACTATGTGAATTTTCACCTGGTATTTCCATTTTTGGTTTGATAAATCCTTATTTCCCTGGTTCAGTCCCCGGAGATTAACTGGCCCCAGGATTCCCTTGTTCCATGTCTCAAAGTAAGTCCCAACATTCTATGAAGCAAATTAAAACAAATCTATAAGTGACTTCAGTTGAAATTAGAAAAAGTATCAAATTATCAATATAATATGCAATCAGTAGCACAAAGTGGGAGCCACTTGAAAAAAAAAACTTACTGGAAGTCCCATAGCTGAACTGAGTAAAGCAATCTCATTTTTCCCAGCTTGAAGATCAACTTGTCCAGTAAATGTGAATCTCCTTCCCTCCATGCTACCATACACAGATCCTGAAATTGGTGATTTCTCCATTACTACATGGTCAAGCTAACTATATTCACCATAAGAACACTAAGTATGTGTTTGCATCACGGAAAATGCTAGAGAAAAGAAGAAAACATGTTAAGTAAATTAATACTCCGTTTGGTTTTACCTTAGAAAATGCAATGAAAAACAAAAATCTGATTAGTTATTTAATTTTTACAACTATCAGTCTTTATATAATAGAGATAAATAAACAAAATGAAAAACAAAAAAACGATTAGTTTTTATTTTTATTTTAAACTCTTAGCATTTATATAATCGAGAGGTCACAGGTTCTAGTCTTGGGAGCGGCCTCTTGACAAAATGACAATTGACAAGGGAAGGCTTGCTCCTAATACACCCTTGTGGTGGAACCCTTCCCCGAACTCTTACCTTGCAGGGATGTCAATGCACACCGGGCTGCCCTTTTTAGTATTTCATTGGGACCGAACAGACCTTAACAGAAAGTATCCACCACAATGCCCTCATGAAGGAACTACATAATGCATACTTGTATAAGTTAACAGTACCTGCAAACTTTTTGTTTACGAATACTAGCACTCCATCCCCTCTTGACTCGATAACTAATGTGGGCTTCCAACCTTTTTTTAAGAATGATTCCGATGTGCTAATATCAACACTGCATTTTGTGGCAAAGGAAGAATTAGTATTTAGTAATGATTGCTATATTTCATTTAATTTCATGTTCTTGTCCCTTTTTTGAAATTTAAGAAAAATAACAGGACAATCAGAACGAAGAGCTGACCTTGTTATATACCACAAATAGTCACTGTTATCCTTGGTCACACTAATCTGATCCAGAAGTCGATTAGTTGTGTATGTTGAACTGTCCTCTTGAGCTGTTATATCTTCGTGATAAGTCACCCACGAATGCAACTTTGAGTTACTTGGTAGCATTTGCACCCGTGAAGTTTTTGCTCCAACCTTAACAGTTATAAGATTCCCAGTGACGATGTGACTATATTACCATTAATTCATTTACTACATCCGGTTATCATTGAAGAGCAATTTTGCATATGGTCCTAAAGAAGGGTAAACTTGAAAAATAGAAGTAAATAGTTCATGAGGAAAATAAAATTAATACCCCAAACTTTAATGGGGTGTGAAATAAGTACCACAAACTTGTATGGTTTTAACAAATACAAATTTATTGAAATAATTACATAATTTCAAAAATGATCTAAGTTTTGATAGAATGCAGTTAACATTCTAAAATTTCATTTTTGAAATAATAATATTACATGTGGTTTAATTTAATTTCAATTGCATCTTCTGTTTTGTGTATTTTAGATTATGTACTTAACACCATAAAATTATATTTGTGAAAAAAATATGTGATCATGGTGGTAATATAACTTTTTATATAAAGTTTGGGGTATATATATCACATGTGCAAGTTTGGGGTACTTATCTCACACCCCTTCAAAGTTTGAGATATTTAAATTATTTTCCCCATACTTCATTGGTTTAAATTATTTAACATGTATTGATTCATGTTAGCCAACCCCCTAATCTTTCGGGACTAAGGCTTGGATGTTGTATTGGTTTCATAAAAAGACACTTATTGAGAAACCAAGTGGAATGGAAAGGACAGTAATAGGGGAAAGTATAATCATGTTTATTGGTTTAATTTGGAGTGTTTTGTTTTCTTTAGTCTTAGCTATGCATCTTTAGTAATTTTAGTCCCAGGCTGTTATATTTTAAAAATAATCATCCTTGCTCGTATCCCTTTGCGGTTTTAGTGCTTATTCATAACACTTCTAGATAGGGGCTGTTTGGAATTGATCTTGCTTCTTTTTTAAAAGTAGGAAATAAAATCAGAATCAGTTTTTTAGAAGTTTTTCCCCAACTTCTCAAAAACTTCTTCTAGGAGCAATCTGAAGCACTTAGAAGGATTTCTGCACTTCCACCCAAACACTTCCGCTTTTGCTCCCTCAAGGAGCAGAAACAGTTTTAAGAAGTAGATCCAAACACCTCTTTACTCTGTGTCAATGGAGCTGACGAAGAAAAGGACTAAAACAGACATAAAAATCAAAAGGTACACACCAATCGACTAAAATTGCATGACCAGGGGGCAGGCTAAAAAAGCAATTTACCCTTTAACTCATTTACAAAAGATTTAATACTTACAGTTGCAGTGTTGAAGATGACATTGCGGCAGTCAGGCAGTATGCTAACAGACCAAGCGGGCAGTGTATACTTCTTCCCTCTAAAAGTGAGTGTGGCTTCATATTTGCTATCTAAGTTTGCAAGAAAAGCTGCGCATTTCCCTTTCCCATATGAGAAAACACTTGCCTGAAGTAAATAAAATACATAATGAATTTATCTCGTAGTTCTATAAGGATGATGAATGTAACATGGCCAAGGGATTTGTCTAGTTATATTAGAAGCATATATCCAAATCTGAAGATATTTCACCTGTTGAGACGTTCCCAGGCTAATAACTTTAGGAACTGATGATACTAAAGCTTCCTGACATTGTTTAATTGCCCTATGAAGCTCACTTAAATGCCCATATTTAGGTTGCCTTAGCAGACCTGAAAATTTTGTGGTCATCAGCCAGCTAAATCATGCAAGCACTTTAATAGAGATCCTAACTGATTAATAATTATTTAACACGCTATGTAGCGAAATGCAATAGAATGTGTATGAAATGTAAATGCACACTTTTTAACAAAACAATTGCATTACAATACATGTCATAACGGTTTGCCAAACAAAACCTTAGGCACAGACTGTTAAAAAAAAGAGAGAAATCTTCACCATATTCATCAAGTGGAGCATCATAATCATAACTGGTTGTGATGAAAGGGCCTCCGGCAGTGCGACCAAAGTTGGTTCCTCCATGGTACTACCATTAATTAAAAACCGATCACAACTTTGTTGAGTATATATATGCACACGTGCGGGCACATATTTTTACATTTACATCTATATTTACATTTATTTGTTTGTGTATCATTGTACTGTGATTCGAGTAGAGTAGTACTTTTGAAATTTTATTTATATAATAGAAGCCTTACCATATAATAATTAACAAATGAGCCACCCTTCTCTACGAAACGAGCAACTGCAAAAGCTAGATCTTGAACTGGACGCTTAGCCAATGGACCTCTAAATTCCGTGAACCTAACCATTATTAAATAGAAATGAGAAATTAAGAGCGATGGTCATCTTAAAATAGCATTTGAAAGTCTGTTTGATAGCCAAATGTGGCTCTGTTGTTATAAGCTATATGCAGAATAAGTAGTTTTTGACTTGCTGATTTGACTAAAAGCGGATATTACCAGAAACTTTTCCACATTTAGCCATTTCAACCAAATAACTTTTACTGAACAGGGCTAGTATAGAACAGATGCCATTACGGCTCAATCTTTTGTGACATGTAAGCAAATTCTTAACAATAAAGCAGATTGATCATACCAGCCAGTCCAAGCTTCAGTCCACATTTTCGGCTTGTATGGTTTGTTGGAAGAAAAGGCATCACAATAGAATCCATTGCATGTATTTATCTGTTTGATAAATGAAAAAGAGCAAATTCAGAGTTCTCTCAATGATAAGCTCAAATCTAATTCTGCTTTCCATAACTATAATGATGATTGGATAGAATCACTCAACCAGACCATAATACAGGTTGGTCAAACCACATTAAAACATACGGAGTAGAATCCTACCGATTTACGAAACCGGTGAGCAAAAGGATGAAAGATAACTCACAATTGGGTCGGGAGCATCATCTTCTTTACACATGACCCATGGGACTCCCGTGTTCAGCCCAACTGCCATTTTTGCAGCCCAATGAATATATTTCTTCCCTGCTGCTCCAAGAGCCTTACTTTCTGAACCATATTCATTCTCAATCTGCCAAAAGAGGTAAAACATACCTATTAATCTGAGTGTATGTTTCTTTATTATCTATAACACACACACACACACAAAAAGTTAGGAAGATCTATATTCAATGCAAAAAGAATTAGTTACCTGAGACAGTATTATAGGACCTCCTTGAGATTGGAACAGTTTTTCACTCTTCATCATTTCAACAATTTTCTTGGTGAAAATGTGCATTTGTTCCTTTAATCACAACAGAATTGGTGAAAGAACCAAATTTGAGACAATATAAACACTGGAAAGTTATTCATTCATCATCATCATTTACCCCAGTGCCGCAAAGGCTCCCACCTATGGTGGGGTAGGGGGGTCGGATGTACGCTGTCTTACCCCTGCACTAAAGCAGGGAGAGACTGTTTCCGGATGACCCATAGTGAAAATCGCGTCCAAAATTGCATGAACTGACTGCTGCTTCATAACAAAGAAGCGAAGCGTAAACAGTTTAGTGAGCCATTTTGCTTTATTCCATCATATTCTCAAGCCAAAAAATAGTGAATCTTTGGCTCCATTACAAATGATGGAGATCGGAAAGTTATTCATTCTTAACAGAAAATTATCAGCAAACATATGGGACTAGGATGAGCATGGAAAAACCTTGAAAGGTCCATTATCCGTTCTGAAGCTGATTCCAGGAACAAATTTCAACCAAACAGGAAATCCTCTGCAAAATAAACAATTGCAAATAATTAGTTTTTTTTTTCTTTTTTCTACTCAAACTAAGTTAACACGCCAAAATTCAAAGCAATTGAAGCAGGAGACACTATGAATTACCCAAAATTCCACTCTGCACAAACGTAAGGCCCTATCCGCAAAATCACATAAAGACCAACTCTTTGCACAGTCTTAACAAAACGAACAAGATCATAGCTTCCCTCAAAATTATACTACAATGTACATAATAACCACAAAAAACATCAACTTTTAGGACTAATCAAGTGAACAATACTCAGTAATACGGTAACAACTCAGTTAAACGAAGGAAACTCACTTTGCCACGTGAAGGTTCATGCCCGTTCCAAAAAACATATGTGTCGATAACATCCAGCCCTCCATCTTTACCCTTTCTTATGAGATCTTCCCACATCTGCAATAGCTAATTTTCTTAAACCTTTCATATAAACATAATCATTACAAAATTTCAAGAAGAAACATGTAAACAAAAGGTGGCACCTCAGGGGTACTTCTTGGATAATGTATGGAACCCGAAATGAGTATTTTCCTTTGTCCATTAATAAGAAGTGTCTTATTGTCATAGGTAACGTCGGAGAAGATAAACTGTGCAGTCATTACAAGGAATAGGCTAAGGAAGAGGAAGAAGAAAGGGAGTTTGGAAACTGAGAAAGACTCCATTTTTGTTTTTGTTTCCACTCCGTAGTGTTATGACTATGCCTTTAATGTTATATATGTCGAGTGTCTTCTCTGAATCTCTTAATCAAGATCATCAAAGGAAGAGAGAATGGAGTTGAAATGCTGCGAGCAGTAGCTGCAAATGTCACAGACAGTGTTTGAAAGGTGGGTTCTTTTTTTCTTCCCCCAAACTTCATGCGCCCTTTCCTCTCTAGTGGAGATGACCCCATTCAAATGCAAATTTTATACTCCGTATAGAAGTATGGAACAATGATGATGATGGGACAAAAACAGAACATTATAATTTATTATATTCTTTTCATACACATATTCATAGATACTCCGTATTTTAAGACGACCCGTGACTTTTTTAATTTAAAGCCCGTCTCAATGAATGGAAGAAAAGAAACTAATAGAAAAAGCAAAACCTTTTAGTCGGTGGTCTAACCTTCTCTCTTTTTCACTAATTAACCCATTAATTAACCATTAACCCTCCCGCAATATTCTTTATTTAATTACTTCACTGTATTTTGCAAACCCACTGATTTTTTTTTAATTTGTTTACAAGTTATTTTCATTTTATGAGGTAAACATTATGTCATCAAATTAAATTGTTTGACGTTTGTCAGAAAGCTTAAATTGTTGGGGCCCTCAGGATGGGGTGTCATCCTTTCCGAAAGCTTAAATACAGAGGATTTGTTTATAAAGATTAAAGTAGCACATACGGTGTAATTTATTTACTTTGTACAATTGTACTCAAATAAGGAAACCTTTATGAAAATATCATGATAATATGAAGCAAAGTGTTTACCATGTACTCTGTACGTTAAAAATGTACTAAAATTTTAGATAATTGCTCTTTCCATATCATTATAAGTGTCACAGCAAACTTTTTACGTAGCCCTTAGACATTGTTATAGGTTTATTGTATTTTTTTAAAAGTACTCCGTGAGACTTTTGGTAAATTGGTAGTGTAATAGTTATATCCTCAGTATACTTTATTAAAAATTTAAAATGTATTATAGCACCTTGTGGGATAGATTCACTCAGGGGCAGCCCTGGGTGGGGGCAGGGGGCAAGGTACTGGGTACATACGCTCAAAAAAATGAAAAAAATTTAGGCCTATAATTTTTTCTTTATATTAGATTTGAGTAGACTGAATTTTTAGAGTTAAACTACTACTTTTGTCCGGCCCAACTACCCAAATGTCCAAGAATACGAAAGCTCTTTGCGGCTAATTGAATTATGGAAACTTCCGTCTTGAAGGAGTTACGTATAAGACTAATAACCTCGCCGCCTATTGCGGGAAGTTGCTGAATTATAGGAGATTTTTTATGACATATTTATTTTATGTTAAAGATTCCTTTCTTAATTATTGTAGTGGTATTATTTTAGGATTCTTTCTCCTTTTATGAGTTAACCGATTCACACATATCGGAACTCCCTTTTTATAAAGTCTTGTATGCATTGCATCTTTGGCAAGATATAGAAAAATATACATGCTTCTTCTTCTACTGCGTGAATATCACCCGTGGCGGAGCCAGAAATATACGGTTAAGGGGGCTGAGCTTTGAGAATTTTGAATTATCGAGACCAAAGTTTAAAATACCAACATATTTTCTCTAAATTCAAAGTATTTATACATAATACATACTTAAGAATTTTTTTCTTGCAAGGGCCAAGGCCCCCTCCGGCCCCTCCCTGTCTCCACCCATGAATATCACATAAAATATCACCACCTCAGCACCTAACCAGACTGCCGGTAACGGTGACCACTGCGGAAAGAAGTTTTTCAATGTTGAAGATTCTTAAAAATATTTGCGATCAACGATGGCTCAAGAAAGGCTTAATGGATTTACTATATTAAGCATTGAGCATAATGTGTTAGAAAAACTTGATTATGAAGCTATAGTTGATGACTTTGCTTCACAATATTCAGCAAAGAATGTATTTAAGTAAATTCTTATTTGGTTATTTCGAAAACATGATTTGATTATGTTTAACTTAATGAATTCAAGTATTTTCTTTATTATAAAGTTTTTCAAATATTATTGTTTTACATGTTAATTTAGACAGAATCGAGTTTTATACTTTTTTTGAAAATAGGATCATTTTAAATTATTCGCCTCTAGACCTTCAAATATACATGGCCGCCCTGGATTCACTTCCGAAAATGAAAATGTGATCGATAACTAATTTGATACGATACGAAAAAGAATATGTGACAATTACAATGAGAAAGAGGGAGTATTTTGGGAATTTTAAATATTTTTGGTTTTTTAATACATATTGTGAACTAAATGTAGTGAACACGTCAATGTATAGCACGTTGGGGTAACTAGTATTTCACCCGTGCGTTGCACGGGATGTAATATGTTTATATTATATAAATACAATTATAGAGGAGATTCTTTTTAATTGCATGAATGAAAGACATCGTAAATAAATAATAACAAACATTAAAATTTAATAAACACTACACATTACAAATTGTTGAAGCATTTCTAGCTGATCCAACCCTATCTTGCCATTTTAGTCAATTATTCAACCCAAAAAATAATCACTTCTTAATTCTTACAAAGTTTGCACTCACATATAATAGGTAGGATTATGAAAGTTGGAATATGTATTTTTATTCTAAGTTCCTCTTAACGCCCCTCCCTACGTTTTAGCATTTAAATGGAATTTTATACATCTTCTAAATTTCTTATAACTTTGAAATGCAAAAAAAAATGGTGTCGGTCTTCAAAAATACTAAACATGACTTGTGCCAGTAGGGACGGGTCTGAAACCTGTCTTCGATCTGAACCAAAAATAAAGGATTGGATCCCGTTCTGGGGACTGGGGATTGGTCGTTTCTGGCATGACTGTTCCGGGACCGTGGAGTGGGTCCACCCCTACTCATAGCTATCTTATTTTTAAATTGTGCATGTTCGTATAGCCTCAACATTGCTATGGCAGTAATACTGGCAGATCAAATGTCCTAATATTGATAAAATACAGTCTTCATTCATAAATTAATATAATAAAAAACACGTCAAAAGCAAGTACTTATATTACATTTGTGAAGAAATATCTAAACATTTAGAAAAACTACATCCCATGAGGAAATGTAATTTGAATGCCCTCATATCACAACCATAAAATCTAAAAGACCATCAGCATGGTTACCTCTCCAACCAACTAATGACTTGTTATTATAAAAATAAAAAAGATGTGTACAATAACTTCCTGCAGAGAGTGAAAGAGGTCTTCTGAGTCTTCACTACTTACTATAGATCATAGTAAAATCCTCGTGCCTGGACCACTCCTTTTACTTGCCAGAATCTCAATTCACTGGCCCCTGCTCACAATGATTCTTTACATTAAATCCGTTGATACTATGAGCCCGTTTGGTAACACGAAATCGGTTGATTCTGCTGAAATGTATGAAGTTCTGGCTGAAGTGACTGCGTTATGGACGGTTACCGACCTTCTTCCTCAATCTTACAAAATATGATTCTCTAATCCTTAAAAATGAGCTTTCAGTCCTTTCACCACTAACTAGTTACTCCACCCGTGCGCTGCACGGGAGTGAGAGACACCCACATAATAATTTAGATATAGTTATATATTTAAAAATATTTAAAAAATATGATTGTGTTAGAATTATTTGAAAACATTATATAAATTCTGAATAAATGATAAGAGGAGGATGATGATTTTTTTTTGGGAAAAGTGAAATTAAATTTTAGGATTTTAGGAATGCTTACGAGGGAGAATTTTCTCTCTCCAGTGTAGTGCTTTTAGGTATAGGATGATGATTTTTTTTTGCGGAAAGTGAAATACAATTTTAGGATTTTTGGCGGAGAATACTTAGGCGGGACAATTTTCTCTCTCTAGTGTAGTGCTTTTAGGCAGTTCGTATACCGTGGGATCATCTCACGGTGAGCACCGTGCTCCTAGTCCAAAACGATGTAGTTTTAATCAATTTTAAAAAAAATCGTGTGAACAGTAAACGCGTGAACAGTACTTTTTCCCCTTATTCCAGACTTCCAATAGCATAATGATGTAACTCACGTGTAAAGAAATGTAAATCACATTATTGATGAATGTAACTCAAGTCTATTCAAAAAAATTAAACAATCAACCAATCATCAATTCTTCAATAGTGGAGCATAGGAGAAGCTGCTGCTAAACCTAAAGTCAGAAGGGATGGGAGAGCATAGTTTCTCAACCGTAGCATTCTAATCGGTGAATGATGAGGAGCCAGGCCAGAGCTCACGCAGTCACGGTTCTTCTTCTTTCTCGGCCGCAATCACTCTTCTTCTTCCGCGGTAGCTATTCGCTCTCTCACGATATGCTCTTTTTTTATTAATGAAACGGCGTTGTTTTGGAATCGGCACACCATGCTAATGGTGGGCTGATCCCACGGTATAAATTGCCGCTTTTAGGTATATGATGATTGTTTTTTGCGGAAAGTGAAATTACATTTTAGGATCTTAGGCGGAAAATGCTTAGGCGGGAAAATTTTCTCTCCACATTGTAGTGCTTTTGGGTATATGATGATGATAATGATGATGATGATGATGATGATGATATTTTTTATGGAAAGTGAAATTACATTTCAGGATTTTTGGCAGAGAATGCTTAGGCGGGAGAATTTTCTCTCTCTAGTGTAGTTCTTTTAAGTATATGTTTTTTTTGGGAAAGTGAAATTACATTTTAGGATTTTATACGGAGAATGCTTAGGCGGGAAAATTTTCTCTCCCCAGTGTAGTGCTTGTAGGTATATGATGATAATGATGATATTTTTTAGTCGAAAGTGAAATTGCATTTTAGAATTTTATGTAGAGAATGCTTAGGCGGGAAAGTTTTCTCTCTCCCGTGTAGTGCTTTTAGGTATAGGATGAAATTACATTTTAGATTTTAGGCGGACAATGCTTAGGCGGGAGAATTTTCTCTCTCCAATGTAGTGCTTTTAGTTATAGGAGGACGATGGTTTTATTTTTGCAGAAAGTGAAATTACATTTTAGATTTTAGGTGGAGAACGCTTAGGCGGTAAAATTTTCTCTCTTTAGTGTAGTGGTTTTAGGTACAGGATAGATAGAGAATGCTTAGGCGCGAGAATTTTCTCTCTCCAGTGTAGTGCTTTTAGGTATAGAATGATTTTTTTTTGCGAAAAGTGAAATTACATTTTAGGATTTTAGGCGTAGAATGCTTAGGCGGGAGAATTTTTCTCTCTCCAGTGTAGTGCTTTTAGGTATAGGATGA